CCTCTTCGTATTCTGCAGACTATGTCTGCAAAAGAAAAGTCGAAGTTTGAAGACATGGCGAAAAGTGATAAAGCTCGCTACGACCGGGAGATGAAAAATTACATTCCTCCCAAAGGCGATAAGAAGGGGAAGAAAAAAGATCCCAATGCTCCGAAAAGACCACCGTGAGTGTTTTTGTTTTCTTCACAAAGCGAAACTTTTAGATTTTCCCTTCCCATTTGACTGGTTAATTCTTTGTTGTTTCCTTTCAGATCTGCCTTCTTCCTGTTTTGTTCTGAGCATCGCCCAAAGATCAAGAGTGAGCACCCGGGCCTCTCCATTGGGGATACTGCAAAGAAATTGGGTGAGATGTGGTCCGAACAGTCGGCCAAAGATAAGCAGCCCTATGAGCAGAAAGCCGCTAAACTAAAGGAGAAATACGAGAAGGTAAATATCTGGCATTTCTTTTTAAAAGGTTAAAATTAAGTAAATGCTTTATTGAAATGTGTTAGAACAGGTGAATTGCATAGCGTTGGAAAACTTAGGTGTCTGGTATGTTAATGATTGTCAGGGAAAACCTTACTGAAACTTAATATGCTGAGGTAGACAACATAACAAACACCTGTTTTAAAAAAGCACTGTTTGCAACCATGGTAAATTCCTGTATGTGTGCTCATTTGCAGTTATACAAATCTGATTAAGAAGTGTGTTGGATTAAGTGTAAATATTCCTAAAATGTGAGATTAGAAGGAATGTGTATCAGAGTTGGTAAGGAAAGGACTAGTGTTTCATAATGAAAGCTCCCCATCATTAGCTTTTGTAAAGCCTAAAGGGAACCAAGTGCTCTCAAACCAAAGGTAGAGTAGACTCTGAATTCCATTTTAGACAGTGATCAGGGTTATTGGCCAGTAATTTTAGTTGTTTACAACCAAGGTTTTTCATTATTGAGTAATGATACCGGATGCTGATTTTCATTATTTTGACATTTCAGGATATTGCTGCATATCGTGCCAAGGACAAAAGTGAAGCAGGAAAGAAGGGCCCTGGTAGGCCAACTGGCTCAAAGAAGAAGAATGAACCAGAAGACGAGGAAGAGGAGGAGGAAGAGGAAGATGATGAAGATGAGGAAGAAGAGGATGAAGATGAAGAATAAATGGCGATTGTGTGTGGAATGTGTGTGTGCGCTCAGGCAATTGTTTTGCTAAGAATGTGAATTCAAGTGCAGCTCAACATTAGCTTCAGTATAAAAACTGTACAGATTTTTGTATAGCTGATGAGATTCTTTGTAGAGAAAATACTTTTTTTTATGCAGATTGTAGCTTTTTGAGGGGCTACTACATACAGTTAGATTTTAAAGCTTTTGATGTTGAATGTTCCTAAATATTTAATGGTTTCTTTAATTTCTTGTAGCACAGCAAACTTCATAGGAATGAGTATCATAAATTTTGGGTTTTTTAGGATGTTGCATTTTGTTTTTTTAAAAAAATTTGTAATAAAATTATGTATATTATTTGTATTGTGTCTGTCTTGATATACTAAACTAACTTCCTCTTAACATACAGCCTAGGTCAATTTTTTTTTGCTATTTCTGCCAAGTAGCTTTTTAGGTAGTGATAAAAGTTTTGTGCTTGACATTTCTATTTGCTTGTCGCTCTTTTTAAACACTTTGGGGAAGATAGAGTGTGGAGTGAATCTCTTAACTTGGTTTTAAGAAATCAGTAACAAGGATAAAATTTTGTTACTGAGTTGAACTTGTTCAGCTGACTACCAAATTAGATTTTGAATTATTTTTGGTCTTTAGAATTCTGAGTAACAAGTCTAAAATTAGTATCTGAGATGGTGTGTTACTCCACGACTAACTTGTGCTTCACCAGGATTTGTATTTGAAGGACAAAGCTTTTTAGGAATGGTCATATGAGGAATCAGTTGTCACTTAAGGTTACTAGTAAAGTTGACCATCTGCACTAAACTGAAATAATACCAAAATGGAAATGCATTATTCAGCCATGTGTTTCTTGGTTTTCTCTATTGCCAATTGGAGTAAGTACTTGGAAAGGATAATTTCATTTTTGGTTAAATTAGACTCCTACCGGAATACATTCAATGGCTTAGGTGAAATGTTACAGAATCAGTATGGTACTAATGCAACAAAGAGATGGTAAAAAAGAATTGCTAAAATTGAAGTAATCTTAAGGATGTCTAAAGCTATAAACCTATCCCAGAGGGTTCTCTTGTCTCATACTTTTGTGTCTGACTGTAATTCATTTTTTTAAAAATGTTCTTTTAAATGGGGAGTTGCTCAGGGATTGAGATGGGTCCTTCTGGCTCACATTGGAGATCAAAATTTCAAATACTGAAAGCAAGTTAATGGATAGATGATTTCAATGAATGCATGTTTTGGAAGCACTAAAACGAAGGTAAGGATTAGGCAAGTATACAACCTTGGTTCTCACTTTACTTGAGAACCCCAGTAAGTGGAATGCTTTATCCTTTAAAGATTCTTAGAATAGCTGCCCCTATATATATATATATATATATATATATATATAGTTTTTGTCATTATTTATAAAATTTGCTGAAGTCCTTAAGGAATTGTTTTCATTTAATACTATAAGATACCACTAGTTTATGTTCATTACTATAATACTGAATGATTCTAACACCATTCTGTGGTTAAGTAAAGCACTGTTGGGGGTTGGTTTTTGTGTGTGTGTGTTGCTATTGCAAATGGAAGTACTAAAAAAAAGTGCTGAAGTGGAGCTGTGGCTCAAAGTTGTAGAGTGCTATCCTTAAGCAAAAGAGCTTCAGGGACAGCTCCCAGCCCTAAGGTGGTTAATTTGAGACAAGAGTCTCAGGCACATTTCTTTCCTAGGCTGGCTTCAAACTGCTATCCTCAGATCTCAGCTTCCCAAGTAGCTAGGATTACAGGTGTGAGCCAACAGTTCCTGCTTCATTCAAAGTGAGCCACCAGTTCCTGCTTCATTCAAAGGTAATTTAAATGAATGAAATCTTCAAGATGGCACTTACACATGTTCAATTAAACCACTGAACTATAGGCAGATTATGTGAATTGCACAAGGCAGAGATAACCATTTCTTCCCTTAGAGCAATCATTCCACATGGTTTATTTACCTTTTAAAGAGCTTCCATTTCTTTACTTTTAAAATAGGAGTAATGACACCTGATGTAGGAAACTGAATTGCACAAGGCAGAGATAACCATTTCTTCCCTTAGAGCAATAATTCCACATCTTTATTTACCTTTTGAGCTTTATTTCTTTACTTTTAAAATAGGGGCAGGAAGTGGCGCTGTAGCTCAAGTGGTAGAGTGCTCGCCTTGAGCTGAAGAGCTGAGGGACAGCACCCAGGCCCAGAGTTCAAGCCCCACGACCGACCAGAAAAAAAAAAAAAACCAGACATCCTGGAAAATAGGAGTAATGACATACCTGATGTAGGAAACATGAAAATGCAGACACAGACCCTTTATACAGGTCTGTAGAGTGGCTTATTCTGATTAAATACAGATTTTAAGACTTGAAAATTGGAATAATATTTAACATTTATATCACCTTGAATTTGTGCCGAGAACTTTATATAATCACTGTATGTATGTTAACTCATGCAATCCTAATAATCCTATAAAACAAGCAGTTTTCTCTATTATATAAATGAGACTATTGTCATTCTGAGGTTAAAAAACTTATCCAAGGTTATGGGTACTTTGTAGTGGAGCACAGTTATAATCAGACTTCAGACTCCATCCTATTATCCTACCATTAAGTTGAGCATCTGTAACATCATTCTATTATAAAAACTACAGAGTCTTATGTTGCTCTACTCAGATGAAGGCTCCAGGCCTACTTCACTCAGAAATTTGGCATTTGCCAACCTCAATTATGGGCATCTCAAAAATCGTAAAGAATTGCAGAGCAGGTATTGGATCTATTGTAGAATTCATCCTTCCTTTATTCTCCATTTTTAAGGACAATAAAACCCCAAATCATTCAAATTTTCATTTTCTTAAATCACATTGATTTTAATGAATATTTTCATAATGCTCAATTTTTTTTTTGGTCGGTTGTGGTGCTTGAACTCTGGGCCTGGGTGCTGTCCCTAATCCCTTAAGCTCAAGGCTAGTGCTTTACCACTTGAGCCACAGCACCACTGACTGCTTTTTCTGTTTATGTGGTGCTGAGGAATCAAACCCAGAGCCGCATGCATGCATGCAAGGCAAGCACTCTACCACTGAGCCACCTTCCCAGCCCAACGCTCAATATTTAACTGCTTTTGCATGAAATAATTTTACTTGCCTAAACTTTTGCCTTCAAGGTCTGTCTCTGATCAAGTACCAGACATGTTTTCCATTGAATTATTGTGGACTTTTTGTCTAGATATAAAAAGCTATGATTCCTATGACTAAGCAAGTACCCATTTATTCCTCTCTGGTGCTGTCACTATTCAAATTTCTTAGCCTGCTACTACAACAGCTAAGGATCGAAAGACAAGAAATAGACAAGTCAGTTCAACAGTTCCCAATTTAACCCAGAAAACTTCCTTCAATCTGTTAGCAGCTGTATTTTCTCTTGAGATAGCTTTACACAACGAGGTCACTCTGTGGGCTGCTTCTAATTTCATTCTGGTAGACTTCTCTTTGCTTCAATTCATCTGCTGTTATAATTTTGATTTAAAGAAAGCTTTGCTTTTAATAGGCAATTATATAGGTAATTATATGCTGCCAATAAGTGTATCTATTGTTGATATTTTATATAATTGTTATATAGGTAACAAACTATTGACATACATAGGCAACCAGAAGTTGCTATGTTCCTTCCTAAACAGATAAACTGAGTATTCTAAGGACATGTACAAGAATTCTAACCAATGCTCAAACATACCCACAACTAATAACTATTATTTGTAATATTTCAGGTCTTAATTCTGTATCCTGTAAATTGAAAAAAAAGCAACTCAGTAAGATGTACTTGTTAGAGTTAGAAATGATTACAAATACTGAAAAAGCTATGAATTAAAATAGAATATTTTATTTTTTTCCTCACCTAAAAAACAAGCAACCCAGAATTAAGATACATTAGCTTCTCAAATTTACCCTAATAAATCTTGAATATTTATATAATTTCTACAGAAACATACAGTGTATCAAAATCTTCATAAATCAAATTTATAAAATGTGTAGAAATGCATAGTGATATTAACTTACAAAGCAACAATATGGGAATTATTTCCAAAGCAGCCTATAGTAGAAAACAGTCAGTATGGCAGCAGTTTTTGATGTTTTCCATGTTTGGTAAGGTTTTTGACTTCAATATATAGTATAGTCACAGAATATCTTCTGTTTTTTTTTTTTTTTGTTGTTGTTCTTAATGAGTCACACTAAGAAAAACCCACATTTTAATTTACCCATGAAATTACATGCACAGTTTATGTGCCACCTTTCTTAGGCCTATGCATAGATAACAGTTATAATCTATTCAACATGGAAAATGGTGTCTACTTGCAAACACACAAGTAATTACAAATTCTCTCCTTTTTAAACAGTTGATTTATTTCACAATTATATAAGCATATAAACGTATTTATTTTTAAATATCTCTAGAGATGAGTGAAAGTTAAAATGGTTGATCACAGATCAATAGCAAAATTCAAATTGACAATTCAAAATTATAAATAAAACTGTTTGGAATGTTTACCTTTTATTCTCCAAATTGAAGAACTAAGCTGGGAAGAAACTAATGTAGAGTGTTTGTTCATTTGTTTTTTAAGCTTTAATTATAAATAGTTCCCTCTAGCAGTACTTTGTAAGTTCTTTGCATTGTAATGACACCATGATTATAAGATTGAAAATGCTTAATTACCTGCCATGCCCCACGTTATCACATTTTACTTTAAGCACTCAACTTGGGTATTTAAATATTTTGGGGAATAAAAGGCTACTTAGAAATTAAAAAGTTGAATTGACCATTTGCAGTGTTTGGTCTCCTATAGTAAGTACTGTCTTAATAAATGTTCAAATTCAAACAAATCTTCTTTTCACTGGAAAAAATACTAATAAAAATGTTTCCTCAAATGAAGGAATACTAGAGAACTTACATCCAATTGAACAGAAAGGTAATCCACTTTTGTTTATGAATTTTTAAAAATTGAAAACTATACATGGAATTTTATTTAGATTAAAAAAGATTAAAAATGAAATGTCAATTCCCTCTTGGTTTTACAGATTGCACAGCCTGAATAGTAATGCCCCCTAAATTTTCTTGACTTAATTTAGTAAGGGCTTGGGAATTCTTGGATGTGTTTGAACTGGAGTTTTGTTGTTTTTATTACCCCTTACTTTCAAGTTCCCAAACTGAAAATTACTTTTGTTTCTTACAGTGACAGGGACTGGAGAAAAGGAGATCCCAGATGTAGGTGGACAATGTTTCCCCTCATTGGAAAACCCCATTGCTCTCCTAGGAGAGCAGATGGCATGGAGAATCCAGCCTGTACGGGAGTTGATGCCACTTACCCCTCACACCTTATGGAACAGCCTTGGTATGCTCCACACTGTCATTTCTTACTCAGGCTGTGCAACTTCATAGCAAACAAATTCATTTCTGAGTAGAAAAGTATTCCTCACACTGATGACAGTTCACCCAATCATTGCCATCCTGTTAATTTCATCAAAAGCTCTTCAAAAATATACTGAGAAATAAAGGAGGCACTAAATGTGTTGAATTTCACCTTTCAGAAAAGCAGCATGACTATGAAGGCAGGCCACCTTGGCTAACCACCTGTGGCAGTGCTCCAAAAAGATGTAAAATTAAATAAAGACACAACAGGTTGATAATCACCCAGCTACTTAGGATAGCCTGGTTACTCCAACCTTTATTTTTTCAAGTGCGTTTAAAAAAAATATATATATATCAAACTGCCTGTCAGACCCCTGAGTGTAATCCCAAAGAAACAAGATGCTTTTCACTCTTTTGTAACAAAAACAGAGGGAAAAGCACAAATAACCAACATCATCTGAAAATGAAACAGAAAAGATGTAAACATCTACAAAGTTTAAGGTAAAAGCAGTTTTGTAAACAGTAACTGCAGATGATAATGTTATTGTAAAATCACAGTTTATCAATGTCCTTCAAACTGATCCGAGGTTCCAGGTTTGGAGCTGTACAGAGTTAATAATAATGGTTGCAGCAGGTTCCAGGCGGTTTTCAGTCCTGTATAAATTTACTTGTCAGTAGGTAGATTATTGGTTTCCTTTATTCTTCCTAAATACTGTGGATGTTATTCATTTCCCACTTTTGTGTCCTTTTACTGGAGTCGCAGCTGGAGATGAACACTTGATGCAGGACCTCTGAGCGGTCTAAGCATTTTCCTGAAGGAACGTGAGTAAATCTGTGCAGGGTCTGGAACACATGAAAGGAAAAGTAAGTTTTCATTTGGGACTGACATCATTGACATTAAGAGTCATTGATCTGGCTTTCATTAGGACACAATTCCAGCAAACTGGACAAGCCTGTATTGACTATGCATCAAACTTTGCATTTCTTTTGTCAGTCCTCTAAGTTCTTGTACTGATAAGTCACAAAATACTGCTGGTTCCATGTTCAGATTCTTTCCCTCTGAGCCCCATCTCTGATTCAGTTTTCTTTCTAGTCCTCAAGAGCCTCCTGCTCTTTCTCTCAGTCATTCATCTCACACCAGTTCTTTTTCTGTGTGTGTGTGTGTGTGCACGCACACGCACGTGTATAGGGCGGGGGGGGGGGGGGCTGGATGCTGTCCCTGAGCTTCTTTGGCTCAAGACTAGTGTTTTACCACTTCAGCCACAACTCCATATCCAGCTTTTTTGATAGTTTAATGGAGATGAGAGTCTCCAAGACTTTCTCATCTGTGCTGGCTTTGAACTTTGATCCTTACTATACTGACATCTGTTCTAATAGAACAAAAGCAATAGTGGGCAAAACAGCTCAAGTCTGGACATGAATCAAGCAGTGGTCCCAGTCTGTTCTGGTAGCAAGTCTTCATTGCATGCGTTCTCAAGCAAGCACTCAAGGGTGGGACATGGTGAAGCAATTACAGCTTATTAATTTTGTTAAATGCTCACCCTCATGTACAGTTTTTAAAGACACCTTGAAATGAATTGGAAGCATAAATCAAGTACTCGCAGGCAGACAAGTACAATAGTATTTCTGAAAAAGAAAAAGCACTTGAGCAATTTACTTGAAGTGGTCGCCTCCTTCAAAGAATGCTATTATTATTCAGCAAACTACAACTAGTCAGACCTGGGTAATTGTCTCCAGGTGAACTGAGTCCATCACTCCAAGAATAGACAAAGACCTGACAGTATCTGTTACCAAAGATAAAAGTTTTTGTGTGTGTGTGTGTGTGTTTTTTAAAGCAAAAATTAGAATTTTGGAAAACATTCCTACTATTATGAAAATGTGATGGTTTCGCAGTATTACAAGACTTTCCTCATGAATTATAACCATTGGGTAGATTTGGTACTTTTATTTAAATTTTGTCAGTACTCAGCTTAGACTCAGGACACTACCACTTGTGCCAGGCACTCAACCCCTTTTGTTTTAGCGTATTGTTTTCAGATAGGGTCTCACAGTTTTGCCTGAGCCAATCTTGGACCACAATACGCTTCCTCTGCCTAGCTGGGATTATAAGCATGTACCACCATGCCCATCTTGGTTCTTTTAGGGGCTAGCCTGAAACCACTGTCCTCCTATCTCTGCCTCCCAAATGGTGATATTATTTGATAGTATGCAATGGAATGTGCCAACATTTAGATCTACACAACATAACAAGAAATGATATTTTCTAAGCAATGCTTGATCTTCAAAAAAGGCTTATGTGATTAAAAAGTCCAAAAAAAATGTAAGTGACCAATGGAGTTTAATGTTTGTAAGTACTTGATTTAAAACTACCATTTATTGAATTGTAGTGTAGGATCAGAGGAATACGGTCACAATTTTCTGCAAAAGCTATTAAGTTCTTTCTAACTACATGTTTGTGAGAGGCTGCATTTTCCTCATATATATCAATGAACACAACAAACTGTACCAGACTAAATAGAGAAAACGCGAGAATACAGCTGTCTTATATGGACCAGAGTGTAACATGACTTTTAAAAGTATGAAACAGCACTATTCTATTTTTTATAGGAAAAAGTATTTTTCATTAAAAGTTTATTTGTATTAACATGTAGTAAGGCTATAAATACTTTTATATCACTTAAATATGTAATTTTACAACCTTCTGATTTAATTTTAGAAATATTATTTACTAATAACTTACATAAGAAGCAAATAATGGCTGGGAATGTGGCTTAGTGGTAGAGTGCTTGCTTAGCATGCATGAAGCCCTGGGTTCGATTCCTCAGGACCACATACACAGAAAAAGCTGGAAGTGGCACTGTAGCTCAAGTGGTAGAGTGCTAGCCTTGAGCAAAAGAAGCTCAGGGACAGTGCTCAGGCCCTGATTTCAAGCCCCAGGACTGGCAAAAAGAAGAAAAATCAAATACTATTTTTTGGGATATTTTATAAATAAATAAATAAATAAATATATATATGTATATATAAATCAGTAACGTGTTTATCAACTGTTAGTTATCCAAGAGAGATGGGAAGGGGAAGGATTAAGCTGGGGAATCATATCTTTACTATATAGCAAGCTAGATCTTGTACTGAAGAGGGGGTTTGTTCACAAATACTGGATGGATCCATTGAAGGTTTCCAGGTTTTTGTCTGAAAAATAAACTTTCACAATACTTTATGTCCTCATTAATTGATATGAGCCAAATCTAATTTGAAAATTATACATCAATCCATTCATACGTTTAAATCTCAACTTTCCCTAGAGCTTTAAATATGCGCAGCTGAAACAGAAAGTATCCCAAATGTGGCCTGTGAATAAATCTGACCTCTGAAGCAAGCCTCTTGCTGATTTATTCTGCTGTATTTAACAAACTGATTAGGAGGCAGAGAAGGCCTCGGCTCCCAGGTTTTATTTGTTAGTCTCTATCTCCACCTGGTGGATGACATGAAATAGATTTTTTAACAGTATGAATATAATTTTACTTGAAGAACAACTCTTTCAGATTTTAAATGCTCCATTTTGATCCTCCAACAATGGTGCTGATTGCCTCAGGAATACTGATTTTCCTGAGTTTCTGAAATCGTGGACATCGTGACCTCATTACATGAGAGACCAACGTGGGACCTCATTATTAAGAACAATGATGAGAAGATATTGCCAATCAATTCACGTGTAGGGTGTAAGTTTTTGTCATCAAAATTCTACATGGCAGGTGTCACTGAAAATGAAATAGTACATGCTATTATTCAAGAAATGGAAACACAATACCTTTAAATATTGCCATTCCTTAAATTCATTTAGATTACAGTGTGTAATCATAACTTTTGATCCATCAGGGCCCTTTGTCAAACACTGGTCATACTGCATCAGCTGATTTGCTTCGTTGATTCGGAAAAGCTGTTAAGAAAAAACAAGAAAAGCAATAAGAAAATAGCAGTGGTAACTTCCCTGCGTATAAACATTTTACAAAGGGAAAGCAATTGAACTGCTGTAATTAAACTCAGTAACTTAGTGTTCTGTAATTTTTCTGTGTGTTTAGAACTATTAGTCCACAGGCAGGAACCATATTTATTTTGAAGTTAATTATGACCCCCCATGAGCACTTAAATAATTATGTTCTTTATCCTCTAACATACAGTGTGAACAATAAACACGTTATTATGTACCAACAGTGTGAGCAAATGAAAGATTGGAAATGGATATAATGTTTCATAGTCTAGATGGAACAGAAGACAAATACATGAGTAAAATATACATTACTTGTGGTAATATCCCAGTTTACTGGGGAAATGTACTGAATGATATGTGCAAAAAAAACCCTGAGGCTTACACAGTATATTCTGCCATACCTATGTTTTCATGTCTGTCTGTACACATCAACACTGGATTGAGTTCTTATGGGAAACCCAACCTCTGTTAGTCCTCTTATTTAGATAAATGTTGTATGAGCCCTGTTAGTTCTGTTTAGAATGTTTTGCTTTATCAGAAAACAAAACCTCTCGACTAAACACTGAACTGAACCCTGCCTGTGATCCATCAGCCTGGCAGCTCTTAACACTGCCCAGGCACTTCGAGACAGGAGGAGACTCACCTGATTCCCTCCCATCCTGTGGCAGGGCCCCAGCTCCACAAAGCCTCCGTTTGTTCTTCCCATGCTGTCAATGCAGTATGAAGTTTCAAAGCCTCTGATCTAAATGTATAAAAAGATGAAGCAGGACACCCTTTAGCTTTTAATAAGCTCTCATATCAGATGAAGAGAGAATCACTCTCAATACTGCTGTTCATGAGAGAAGGCGAGGAGCGGTGTGTGTGGGAGTGTGGAGTGGTGTTGTCAGGTTATGGCTGTGTCGATAGTCTCTTAAGTATTTCTGAGCATATGTCATCTTTGAAGTCAATGTTGGAATGAGTTCATCTTAACAGGGCACTGGGCTGATACAGATTTCCATAAAATACCATGGGGCGAGGGGGGTGGCGGTGAAGATAGATAGACACAATTAAACTCCAGGCATAGTGGAGCACACCTGTAACTCCAGCTACTTAGAGGTGGAAATAGAAGGGCTGCAGCTTAGACCAACTTAGGTAAAACAAGCTGAGTGTGGTCGTTAATGTCTGCAATCCCAGTTACTCTGGAGGGGGGCGGTTTCATTACTGTCTGAGGCTGGCACCAGGGAAAAACGGGGAGGCTCTATAAAAAAGAAATGAAGCTGGGCGCTGGTGGCTTACACCCGTAATCCTAGCTACTTAGGAGGCTGAGATCTGAGAATCGTGGTTCAAAGCCAGCCCAGGTAGGAAAGTCCATGTGACTCTTATCTCCAATAGTCCACCAGAAAACCAGAAGTGATGCTACAGCTCAAGTGGTACAGTGCTAGCCTTCAGCTCAGGGACAGCACCTGGGCTCAGAGTTCAAACCCCATGACTGATCAAAACAAAACAAAATAACAAATGAAAAGAAAATGACTAGGGGTATGACTCAAGTGGGCAGAGAACTTGCCTGGCCAGCTTAAGGCCCTGAGTTCAATCTCTAGCACTATAAAAAGGAAAAAAAAAAGATACTATTAATTGTAATTTCAGGATCATGATAATTTATTGAAAGAGCAGCAAGTAGAAGAAAGTTACTTCATTATGATAGTAACATGCTAGGTAGCTAAACATTTAGAAAGAATTGTGTGGTATTTCCCAGTGGCTATGAAGCTACTAAAAAATGCACCAGGTCTCTCAGGGGCAAATGTCAGAGCATAGGGGCAGGTAGGAAAGCTTTCCTCTGACTCTGGGTAATACAGGTGAAAAACAAACATAGGCTTCCAGTTTTTGAATCTAGCTTTGTGTTACATTATAGATCCGTGCAGTCATCTCAAACCACATCTCTGTAAAATGTGGATGAAATATGTATTCATTCAGCAAATATTGGCTGTGCACTATGATGAGAGAGCTTCTGAAAATAGGAAGAGCAGCAAGTCGCAGTCCTCAGGCCACAGAGTCTGTAAGGTGACAGAAGGTGAGGGAGTCTGTCCGTCCATCTGTCTTTCTGAGCAAAGAAAATAGCCTGTCACCGTGCATGGAGGAGCTCTGAGGAGAATGCTTTTAAACAGACAGTGTTTCAGCTGGAATGCTTGGGAAAGGCTGAGATATGAAGTGTGAGGGGCAGGGGTCCCAGCAAGGAGAGGCTAACCTGGGGAATTTAGTGAGATAATAAATGGAGGGCAGAAAAACCAATTCATTCATTCATCCATCCATTCATTCAGTACTGAGGACAGACTGCATGATACAGATAGTCAATGCTATGATAAAGACCCCCGCCCCAGCTCACATTTCAAGGGAAGCAAACATGGGATGTAAAAGCAAAAACTGTAGCAGGAAAAAAAATCATTTATTACATTAGAGAGTGCTAAGTGCCATTGAAAAAAGAAAAACAAAGTCAGAGCAAGTGAAGGTGGGGAAGGCACTTGGGTTGGGAGGAGGATGGTGAAGGGTAGATCTCACCGGGGGGAGGGGGTGTGGGGACTGGTTGTGTCTGCAGATACGCGAAGGCAGTCAGAGAAGGTGCTCAGCGCGGTGGTCAGTGGCTACAGTGGCTTAGTGGAAGGGCAGTTTTACCTCAACTTTTCCTCAAGAATTTTTTTTTTATTTCACTCACACATTTCCATCTCTCTCTCCCTCATCCCGAAGCCTACACCATACATTTTGAGATGTGAATTGGGGCTGATACTTACTTCTCCCCATTCCACATTTTTGGAGGGCAAAGGGTAGTGTGCAGTGATGTCATACGCGATTTCTTCCATGAACCACTTGAAACTTTTGCAGTTGTGATCTTCTCGAAATTTCTTCAGCTCGGATATATCCCCATAGGGTAGTGCCTTTGATTCAGGACGACTAGCATAGAAATAGTCTTTATATTCATCCCACCAAACCTCCACAACTCTAACATAATTCTGTGAAAAAGAAAATTTTATCACTATAGAAAACAGAAATAGCTGGAATATCATAGTCATCTGAGACACATGACATATGACATGTAACACATGACATATAACCAACTTGTTTCTGCAGGACCTGGCATTTAATTAAGCATCAAAGACATGCAATCTAATGACCCTAATACACTATGTGCCAAGTGTAAAAATGTCACGTGTGTTTGTTCAATTAAAAATAATGCATGCAGAATACGATGTCCTGGCAGTAGAAGATCATAAATTCTAAGATAATATAATCTATCCTATGAACAAAGGAAGAAATTGATGCTCAGAAAGGGTTGGAGAGAAAGAACCTGGCTGAATACAGGAATGCTTTCTCCCAGAACAATCTATTAGTGCCACATTACTGACACATACAAAGAAAAATCTCAAAGGAGACAATGAACAGTGTGAAGATATGAGAGAATATAAGGATGAGAGACTAGAACTATAAATCATAATCTTGTAAGAAGTTAGTATCCAAATACACAAGGAACTTGAAACAACCCAGGTAGGGGAAAATAACCAGATTTTCAAAATGTTGGGAAATGTTGGACAAAGGACACAAAATTTCAGTCAGGTGATCTGTTGTACATTAAGGTTACTGTATATATGAAATTGCTAAGGGAGTCGATTTTAAGCATTCCTACCTACCTATGACAAACATGATTATAAGGTACATGATAGATAACTTTAAGCCAATCCAGCAAACTATCAAATATATATCATATATATATATCAAAATATTCTATTGGCCAGATATACTTGTCAATTAAAAACATAAATGAAAAAGAAAATAAGTAAAATGAATAATCTTGAAGAATGACAGATTTCCTAAGGAAGTCGAGCCTAAGTTAAGGTAAAGAGATTTACTCTTCTTCCCAGAAGGCATTGGCTAAGAGGCACCTGTGGGTGTGGTCCTAGTATTTTAACACTGTCCTTCTTCTCTTGTAAGCAAACAACTCACCTTTAGAGTTGGAGACGACCCAACATAGAGCGGTGGAGGGTTTCCCTGCCAGCCTTCAAGACGGTAGATGTGCCCAACACGGGAACAAGGGACAAACAACAGTTTGCCACCACACTGCCAAATCTACCAAGAGAGAAAAAAAAAATCACCTGTTGTGGAAGTTGTTCCAAAGGTACAACCCGGTAACAAGTGAAAGTTCATTGTGTGCGTGCAAATCTTAAATCTAAATTGGATACCAGGCCAACACAGAATATGTAAGCTAAACAGATCCTAAACTGATTATTTTATTTTTATTTTTTCAAATTCTTTATTGTGATTAAGTGGTTACCTAATTTCCCAAATTTCATAGTATTGTAGGATAGTGATGCTTAGTTAAGAGTCACAAACACATTCTAACTTTCAAACAAATTGTCTGTCATGGTCTATAACATTTATGAGTTCTCTGAGCTTTGCAATACAGTTATTTCTTCCACCTTGGGTGATGTGTATATTTCTTTTGTTTTGCATAGCATCAGCTGTTCCCTCTTTCCCACTTGTTCCCTCCCTCCCATCGCTGCCATTGAGTTGCTTAGTTCATTTTGATCAATGTCCACTAAACTGATTATTTTAAAATAATTTAGTTGCTGCGCCACCAGTGGCTCATGCCTGTCATTCTAGCTACTCAGGAGGCTGAGATCTGAGGATCATCGTTCAAAGCCAGCCAGGGCAAGAAAGTCCCCGTGAGACTTTTATCTCCAATTCACCCCCAGAAAACCAGAAGTGCTGTTGTGGCTCAATGTGGTAGAGTATAGGGCTTGAGCAGAAAAAGCTCAGGGACAGCCCTACAACCTATCAAAAAAAAACAAAACCAAACCCTTATAGATGTATACTATTTAGTTTTATTTAGGTTATTTAGGCTAAATCACTTACTTCTTAAAAACTCACATGCTAACGAGGAAGACAATGGGAATAGAATAATCAATTGCTGCTATATACCGGTAGTTAGTTACCTTAGCAGCCTTTTCTCATTACAACTAACAGTCCTATCCCAGCATTTCTAATACAATCCTACTTGAGTCAGTATTAAAATAACCTTCTAACTGGCTTCTTCACCTTCATCCTCTCTCTATTTAACTCTATCTTTATTTATAGAAAGAGATTACTGTAGCTGAAGGGCAGCTTTGGGTCATGTTATTACCTTGCTTAGTATCTTTGATGGCTTCTTACGGCTTATCAAATTAGGTAAAAAATCTCTTAGCTTGGCATTAGACGCTCTTCAATGAGATCCGGATGTGCCTGTTAACTTTATTTTCTTAGATGTCTTATTCATGCTGCTGGACTCTGCCAAACTGCGCTTTACTTGTTTCATGTTCAAATCTATACTATACTTTTATTTAACTGTGGAATCCTCTCCCCTCCCCTTATCTCAGCTTAACTATACCGTGTACCTTTGCAGTTCTGTCTCGCTTTCTACCTTCAGCACAATGATGTTTGTTTGTTTGTTTTTCAGGTAGAAAAAGAGTTTATTGGGGGGACAGCAAACTGGGGGCCCACACAAGATGGAGGCACACAAAGACAAGAGAGGGAAAAGAGAAAGAGAAGAGAGACAACACTGTTTCTTAATTACACCAGCTGAATGCCATTATCTCTCTCTCTCTCTTTTTTCTGCTTCTTGTCCTACAGTGAGGTAGCATCACTAGGCAGTCCCAATACATGCAGATTCTCCAAGAACCACTGCAATACAAAGCCCCCATGTCTGAAAGCCTTCAGTGGGATTTACATTTCTGGTTTGTTGGCCACAATGAACTGAGCCCTACAGCCATTTACATTTAGAGTTTGCTTTATTTTCTCAAAAAAAGGTATAAATGTTTATATTTAAAGTTGTTCCTTACAGTTGAGAAATGCATGCTGTACATTAAAAAAAAAAATCTCCCTCTCAAAGTCCTAAGTCAGTAACTACTGAGAAAACTGCCTTTGTTTAAGTGAAAAATGTTACCTTGTACGAGATCTCAAAGTTTTCACCACCCCAGATTTGGAGCCCTGGATCATAGAGACCCAGTTCAAAGAAGAACTCTCGTTCAATGGCAAATAATCCGCCAGCCATGGCTGGAGACCTGAGGAGAAGAAACACTGCAATCATTATTCTTCAAGAGAATCCCCCTCCAGCATCCCTTCACCAATAGAGAGCAAGCTTTTCGGGGACACAGCCTAAATATGCATAGAAGAGAAAACACTGATGGCCAAACATGAAGAAACTATAAACCTGTCATAAAACAATATGCTCGAAATCCCGCGAGTTACCAAGATTTCTAACTAAAAGTTTATAATCAACTTTCAGGACATTCTGACATGTCACCATTAGAGGGCATACTGGTTCCCTTGTTTTCAAAATGAAAACAACTGAAATAAAAATTCTGCTTTCACTCCTAGAACATTGAACCACATAGCCGTGGTCTGCTAACTGCTCCTGCCATGATTTATGCATCGTTCTGGGATGAACAAAACCATACACTATGAAAGCAGTCTGTCATTTTTTAATTTTATGGCTTAGGGGCTTGCCGAATATGAGTGTAAATCACCTTAGAACAGCCACAGTTCCTCAAGAGTTTGCAAATGTAGCATGGGAAAGACACAGGACAATTTCACGTTGCTGTTTACTTAGGAGTAGGAATGCAAAAGGGTGACCTTGTGACCTTCTTGGATGGATCTTAAAAGTGGGTATTTTTTTAGGGGCAAGAGAAAAAGAATCAGGTAACTTTTTGTTGTTGTTGCTGGTTGTGGTGATTCAACTCAGGGCCTGGGGACGGTTCCTGAGCTTCTTTTGCACAAGGCTGGTGCTCTACCACTTAGATCCACAGCACCACTTCTCATTTCCTGGTGGTTAATTGGAGATAAAAGTCTCATGGACTTCCCTGCCCAGGCTGGCTTCAAACCTCAAACCTCAGAACTTGACCTCCTGAGAGGATTACAGGCTCGAGCCACAGGGTGTGAGTTACCTGGCTGTGCGTAGCTTTGTAGTGCTAAGTCACTACGACTATTGTCAAACTAATAGTGGAATAATTTTTAATGGATTCTGCACCTCACTCACTGCTGCGAAGCAACTAATAGTGCATCGTGATTCCCAAGTGTTGGGAAACAATACCATTAAGGTATTTATTCATGATTCACACCTAATATTCAAGTCTATCACTGAGCTGAATTGTTTCTTCCTTGAATGTGCATTTTGCATCTGTCTACCTTAGACAAAGACAATACTGATCGGTCCACACACTGCCGTGCCACACGTGCTCCCGTCCTTCATCCCATTCTCTCCCTACCGTGATAGAAGCACACAGCAACCAGAGTAGAGAGGCCTTAAAGAACCATCCAGGCACTACGCTCTCCTGGCTTCTGCCTTCTATGAGCCCTTCAAGTACATCTGGAGGGCTCTGCCAGATGTTACTCCTCGGGCCCTCTCTCTCTCTTCCCTTTTCTCTCTCTGTCCCTCAGAGCTTGGCCTCAATAACTTATCACAAGATCTTTCCTGACCCTCTAGGCTGGATTAGGTGCCCCTTTCAGTATGAGCCACATATGTGTTAATTTTCGTGATAATATAGAGCCTAACAGCTTGCTCCAGAGTTGTTTGTGCAGTTAACTGTTCAACTTCCCACCCCAAACAGTGGCTGGCACACAGAAAGCACTCAATAAATACTTGCTAAGTGGAGAAGCTGTCAATTATAAAGGCAAATTGCATCAAGAGAAAGTCATTCTTCTGTCTTTTCTTCTTCAAAAATATTGCTCGACTCATGCAACAGAACTATTTTTTATACTTTTGGTTATACTTTCATGTCACATTGAGTGTCACTGAAAACTGCTTCATAGTAACCATGCCTTTTTGCCAATAGATTCCTCTTCATCTCAGTACATATTTGAAAATGCAGCTTGACAAGCAAACTAGTGAGTTAAAGGGCATCATTCCTTAAAATTTCCTAGCTCAGTTAAAATATGAGTGCTGCCTAACACCTGTAATCCTAATGACGCAGGAGGCTGAGATCTAAGGAATGCAGTACAAAGCCAGCCCAAGTAGAAAAATCTGTGAGACTCTTATTTCCAATTAACTGCCAGAAAGCTGGAAGTGGAGCTGTGGCTCCAGTGGTAGCCAAAAAAAGCTAAAGGATAGCACCCTAGCCTAAGCACAAAAAAGAAACAAAACAAAAAGCCTTTACTAGGCCATGGAATAGGCAAAAAATATAAATGTCATTGGAACTTTTTTTTTTTTTTTGCCAGACTTGTTAGAGAACTAAGCAGGTCAGCAGCAGATTGCTAAACTAGTCTGAAATTTTCAAAATTTGGAAAATGTGGTTAAATGAAGTTTAAGTTTCTGTCATTTCTTTATGTTTGCCATTCAGTATCTAGATACGACGTGCCCAAACCCGCCAGCATTCCATGACACTGAAGCATTTTCCTAAAACAGAATTAATTCTACCATTTCCAGCAGTGTAACAAGGAGAAAGAGAACAAAGGTAGAACTGCATGATCAAAAACATCAAATAGACACATTCTAGAGAACGCTATACTAACATCTGAGTAAATTTTTCACCTGGGGTTACTGTTTTGAAAGACAGGAATACATTCTAATTAAAAGGTGGAAGAAGACAGTAACAATAAATTGTTTTACGTGAAAAACCACATGATATGACAAAAGTTAATATGGAAATAGTTTGACTCTGAAGTTTTTTGACAACAAATGATTCTATGCAGCATTTCCTAGTGTTTTTTTTTGGGGGGGGCGGGGGGAACATGCTGGTCCTGGAGCTTGAACTCAGGACCTGGGCTCTGTCCCTGAGCTTTTTTGCTCAAGGCTACTGCTCTACCGCTTTCAGCTACAGAGCCATTTTTGGTGGTTAAAGCCCGGGCTGGCTTTGAACCACAATCTTCAGAAGGATTCAGCCTCCTAAGTAGCTGGGATTGTAGGTAGGAGCCATCAGTGCCCAGCAAATCTGTGTCTTTTTCTATTCATTCATATTTAACTGATTCAAAATTAGCATATAAACATGTAAAGCCAAAGAGGAAAAAAAAAAAACCCAAATGCCTTAATGTTTTTCTTTCATTGTTAGCCTTACCCTCATGGCATTCGAGTAGAAATGAAGTCTTGGATTATCAGTCATTTAGTTTGAATTTATAGAATACCCTTATCATCCAAAGACTCAAACCTACGGATCCAGTCTACTGGCACAGGAGACATTTTTCTTCACTTACATCTACTTGGAGCTAATCATGTTTCCTGCTGTCCCCTGCCTGTCCCACTCAACAGTCAGAGGAGATGGCACTGAGGGTAAATGTGAATTGAAAGCTTTGAGCCAAGCCTGAGAGAAGAAAGAAACCCTTCCAGCCTCGGAGGCAGCATCTACAGTGTGAGCCGGTTTTCAGCTTGCAAGAGGTTAATGGATTAGCAGCAAGGAGAGAGGAAGGAAGATAGGTAAGTGATTTAGTGATTACCGATACGGTTCAGTTTTTGTCTTTCTCAGTCTCTTCTCTCGAGAGGTCAGGGGCACCCGTTTCCAGAGCATGCTCCAATCCCATGCTCCTCGGGCATACCCATCTTCATCACCACCCCCTTGGGGTATAATTTCATATGTGTTGCCATTTATGACATCTATAAGCGGCACAGTGCAAATGGTTCTGAATTGGGTTGATGGCAGCAAAAGTCAAATGAAAGTCAATGTAGGGAACCACACATGTACACGAGTTCATGAGGAAGGAAAAAGAGAGGACTTAGGTAAACATTCAGTGAAAATTGAAAGTAATCATCTTTACCGATAAGGCTCAGTTTTATGTTTTCTTTTGGCCTTTTCCTTGTGGCTTAGAGGAACACGTTTCCACAGTAAGCTCCAGTCCCAGGCCCCTCTGGCAAAGCCATCTTCATCCCCACCTTGCTGTGGTTCAATGGAATAATCATTCCCATCTATGTAATCTATTAGAGGCACAGTACATGTAGTTCTGAAACATTTACAGAAAATGAAAAAGCATTTAAGAAGCCACAACTGACTAGTTTAGCATGCCTACCTACGTTGGCCCTTTCTGTAGGTTGTTTTTGCATTTGGCAACTTAACTATCTAATGGTGAAATAGAAAATGAATGTCCCATGAAAACCCAGGAGCCTATTAAGTAAGTAAGGTAAGGACGGCAAAGAGGTGACTTTTCCCCTTGGCTTATGGGCATTGAGTTTACTAGTGTTTTCCCCTTTTTTTACTCGTAACTTTCTCTGGGTATTTTTGCGTTATTTACAAGATTTTTCTGCCTACATTTTCCTTCCCCATCCCTTTTTAAAGTACCTGGCCATAAACTAACATGGTGAACTGAAAAAACCATTTGTACATCTACTGAAAGATAGTAAAAATAAATAAAAATAAAGTGTGTGTATGTATAGAGGTGTTTGTGTGTGTGTGTGTGTGTGTGTGTGTGTGTGTGTGTGCTCTTGCCACATTCTTAGTTCTCCCAACTCTTGGTTGCTTTAGAAGTCATTATTGTGAAAATGTGTTTCGGCGCTTTTACTTAATCTCCTTTCTTGCTCCTTTCATTGCAAAAAAAGAAAAAAAAATCTATACAGCTGCTTAAAAACAAAAGCAGAAAGAAAAAAAAATCTCTCAAAATCTGTTGAGGAACTTAAAAAATGGTCAGAAAAACTGCCATAAAGAAAGGAAGAAAAAAAAAAACCCTGTAGTTGGGCTTCATAAAAATGTTAAGCGCTACATAACTAGTTGAATGTAGAGTTAACATTACAAAGATAATTTGATACCCTGCTTTGGTTCCATGCTGATCTCATCAGCAAGATTCTAAAATGTATTTCCTAAAACAGAGATCACTGCTCTTCCGTAAAACTAGGTCACACTACTTTCTAGATGCTTTGAAACCAAGAGAAAGGGGAAAAAGTCTATGGGGCTGAGAATGCTGATTGGGGGAAAGGACTCAAGAAGGATGCTGCATTCTCAGAGTGTGGTCTTGCTTGCTCAGGAGGATGGGTGGGGTGTGGCTATGGCCTTTGGAAAGCCACTTGCCTACTGGCAGGAATGCTAGCATCCCGTGGGAGAGTTACCTCATCCCTGATTAAGTATCTTTCCCATTTCTAAAAAATGGTGGCAAGTAAAGTGGCCCAGAAACCTCCATTTGACGGGTTATTAGCTATCAGATTTGGAACAAATTAGTTATTTTTTCTAATCTTTAGTAATCTTTTCAGAAAATTGGAGCCAGCTCTGCTTTACAGGGTTCCTGTGAGGATTAACCCAGACAACATGGCAAAGTGCTTATGATAGGCCTTCAGTATGATAGGCCTTCCTTAGGATAAAGCCTCCTCGGGTTCTCTCTCTGACACATGCTATCTGCTACATGATATGTCTCATTTGCTTCAATTCTAAAGCAGTCAGCATTCTAAAACAGAATTCTGGACAGGAAGCAACCAAGGACTCTGAGAAGTAGGAGGAGGAAACTGCCTTCTAATAATTCAGACATTTTCGGAAATTTAATAGTGATCGCCACATCTCCATGGAGTAGTTGTCTATTTTTAAACCTTAGAGTTTCTATAGGACACTCAAAAACTTGACAAAATAACAAGTAGCCCTTACTATGTGAAGTAATTTTTAAAAAGGCAAAAGAAACAACTATATATAAAATGTATATAATTTAATATGTATGCTCTCTCTCTCTCTCTCTCTCTCTATATATATATATATATATATATATTCAAAGCACTAATCTTCCAAGATTTTTAATGCTTTTACTCCAGTTTAGGGACAGTAATCAGTACGCCTCTTAGAGAAGTCTCTAGAGTTAGAGGAAGTCTCAGTAACAGACTCTCCAGGGGGATACCTTGGTCTCCCTCAAATGCCAGACTTTCTGCATTTGCGTCGCTTAAACGATCAACCTAGCTCTACTCCCAGGTAACTAGCTCATGGTAACAACACTTCAAACACAACACGTGGTGCACAGAGTAGAACTGCGATCAGAGTGAGAATGCTAGTTGCCCTTCTAGGACAAGGCTTACTTTTCAACTAGGAAAGAAAAAACAAAAAAGCAAGGTAATGTTACCTGTCCTTAGATATGGGAGCTACAAGTGGTGCATACCAGTTAACTGCTACCTCACAGTGGGCATCAAGGTATATCAAAACCTTAAAGAAAAGAGGCAGGGTGAAAGAATACTCCTCACACATGGAATATCATACATCGTATACAATTTACATTTAGATGCTAATGAGAATTAGCATTATAGCCAATTTTGACACATACGTTTGTTCAAGCTAGCATCCTCATTTCAATTAAAAAAAAACCACCAATGAGTAATTAAAATGTATATGATCTTTTAGTTACTAAGTCGAAAGCTGTGACATTATAGAGACTGTAAGGGTTTCCTACCTGTCCAAGCTTAGCCTTCTGGGCACCAATGCTCCGTGCTTGGATTAACCCTTCTCTTCTCTCATTTCGATATACTTTCACTAGGCCATTCCACTGTTTAATATAGTCGTCCAGTTTTTTTTTTAAGTGGTCTGTGGATGGAAAAAATCCAATCAAAATTCTAAGTTAGACATTTGTATATAAAGCTTTTTTTTTCCTCTCCAGCAATAAAGACAAGACACAAATGGGGAAGGCAGCAAACGATATTCCACAGGTTACAAAAATTGCTTCATCTATTAAGACAGAGATTGCCCAGTGGTAGAATGTATTCTGGACAGTACTGAAGCCCTAGATTAAATCTCCACTAGATTTACACTAAATTTTAAGCTTAATGTATCTACAGAAGACTGATTAGTATCTTTCTAAACATTACATGGTGACTTTCTAATCAACAGTTGGAGCTTTAAAATCTTTTAAACATTTTCTTATCTATCTATCTATCTATCTACCTACCTACCTACCTATCTATTTATTGCCAGTCTTGGGGCTTGAACTTAGGGCTTGGGCACTGTCTCTGAGGTTCTTTTGCTCAAGGCTAGCACTCTACCACTTAAGCCACAGCACCACTTCTGGCTTTCTCTGTTTATGTGGGACTGAGGAATTGAACCCAGGGCTTCATGCTTGCTAGGCAAGCACTCTACCACTAAGCCACATTCCCAGCCCTCTGAACTTTTTGTTTTTGCTCCAGGCTAGCACTCTACCACTTTGGTCACAGCACCACTTCTGCCTTTTTCTGTTTATGTGGTTCTGAGGAATCGAACCAAGGGCTTCATGCATGCTAGGCTTAGCTACCACTTAGCTATCACTAAGATACACTCCCAACCCTAAACTTTTTTTTCCCCCAAAGTTTAAATGTTTAATGTCAAGTCTAACACCTTTCAGGCTATGTGTATGTGGCTAATGCCCAGGCAGGAAAGTCTGTGGGACTCTTTTTTTTTTTTTGTCAATGGTAGGACTTGAACTCTGGGCACGGGTGCTGTCCCTGAGGTATTCTGTTCAAGGATAGTGCTGTACCACTTTGAGTCACAGCTCCACTTCCAGAGCTGTGGAGATAACTGGAGATAAGAGTCTCTCAGAATTTTCCTGTGGTTGCTGGCTTTGAACCATGATCTTCAGATCTCAGCCTCCTGAGTAGCTAGGATTACAGGCGTGAACCACCAGCATGCAGCTTTCTGTGGGACTCTTATTTGCCAGTTAAGTACCAAAAAGCCAGAAGTAGAGCTGGGGCTCAAGTGATAGAGTACCAGCCTTAGGCAAAAAGCTGAGATGGTGCCCAGGCCTGGGATTTAAGGTCCAACATACAAGATAAAATAAACTTAGCTTTCAGAAACTGTTTTTTTTTTTTTGAGTTGTCAGATGCAATTATTCAGGATTCCTGAAAGCGCAATGACTACTTTACAACAGTACATAATTTACCTGGAATCTGCACAGGCTATAGTTCATTTCATATTTTCTATCTAGACCATCTTTTTCCAAATATAATAAATTGTAACCCTGCTGCGATGAATATGATTCCCATCAAGTTGGCAAATAATAATCAAAAGATCCTAGTTTCTCAGTATCTTTAGCTTCCCAAGTGTATAGCAGATTATATTCAATTATAACCATTATAATTACAGACACACACATATATGTCTGTAATTAAGTAGAGGAAATTCTGTGTTATAAAAACCAGACACATTTGGCCAGATTTCTGTCTTGGCTTCCCACTGTGAGACAACAGATTTTGTTTATCACTAGGAGCCCATGAAATTGGCTCATGGCAGCCAGAACAGGCTTCTGGAGCCTTTAAAGACGCTTCTTGAGGACACAACAATTGCTTTAAAACTGTTTAAAAGTTTGGCCCTTGGATACCAAAAAACCACACATACACAAATGCTGTATTGGAGCTAAGCTGGTGTGTAAATGGACATAATATTTTATTCATTTCAGGAAGCTTATTATTAGCAAGACACCCGCACACATGGCATTCAGAACTGAGAGATTTTTTTCCCTTCCATTTTGGAACCAGTTTTAATGAGTATTATAAACAAAATTCTTATGGTTATAATATACCCCCTAAAATATTTGAATAATTTCCTCTTCAGATTTAATTTTTTGTTTGGGAAGGGTTCTTTCTTTCTTTCTCTTTCTCTCTCTTTCTTTCCTTCTTTCCATTCTTCCTTTTCTTTTTTTCTTTTTTGTAAAGCCTGGTACAGTTCTAAGTTCTTTTTGTAAAAGTTTTTCTGAATTTCATTAGGTGCTCTTTAGATAGGTGAACATTCTCTCTATATTTTTATGAACAGGAACAAGTGACCAGCTCTTCAAGTTTGGAGCCTTGGTTTGGAGATCACAAAGAGCAATGGTGAGTCCAGTGACTTCCGGTTTCTTGAGGCTATTCTATCCTGGGAGATTCAGCTAGGCTCAGAATAGCCACTGCCATGCCCTGGAAGAATGTGGCTGGCCATCTGTCTTGAACCCACCAGTGCCAGGCAGGCATGCCACTGGCTGTGGCAAAACAAGATGATGAAGCAGAAGCCACAGGACCTCCTTATTTCACTGTCTGTGCTTTTCCTCTGTGAACTGAGGCTTTGTAGATGTGGGCCTCACAGTAAAGGAGATGGAGCCCTGAGCCAGGGCTTTGAGCCGCTCAGAGTGTGCTTGACTCAGCCTTAGCTGGTTAACGCGCCTGTGTGTGCAGGAGCTTGCTCTGTTTAAGGGCTTCGAACTTCAGTTAGAGAGGGCGCTGCAACTTGCAGGAACTTAAATGTTATTATGAATAGTTAGCTCCTCTGTGGGTTTTTATATTAGTACTTTGTCTCTTAAAGAAACTTCCAAGTTTTTGAATCTACTGGGCAAAGTACAAACTAAATTTCCACTCCAGCTAGATTAACCACACACGATTGTCATTTTCTGGAAGTTAGGACAATCGTTTTTAAAGTTGTTTCAGAGTTGGGGCAACCAGTTAAAGATCTTGTGTGCTCTGTTTAAAGGGAGCTGTCAATCTCCATACATAGTCAGGAAACAGACATTGTGTGGCTGCCTTCAAAATGTGGTGCTGGATACTGACAAGGGAGATTTGTAACAACACAGTTAAGGAGTGCAATATGAATGTAAAACGAGCCAACATCTAAAAGCCCCAAATTCTCTTCTACCTTTCTCCAAGCAATTATTTTATGGTGGTAGAAAGCTTTTGGGTTATCTTTACTTTCTCTTTTTAGACTCTTAAAAAAAAACATTACTTAATAATATAGGGGTGCACAAAGTCAGTACAAAGGCAGGAGCTATCTCAAAGTTGTTTCTGATTTAGATTTCTTTTTCCTAAACCTAAAATGATGTTGGTAGTATATTTTATTTCTGGTTCCCTGCTGTTTTAGAGGTGGTACACAGTGGAGTTACATTTACACATGTCAGGTAGTAAGTGCATTTACTTTCATAGAGTGTCGTCTGTTCCCTCATTCTCTCCCGTTACCTCCCTTCCATCGCTACACACAAGTTGCAGAGTTCACTTTCATCGCTGTTCAGTGGGCTCCACTGATGTGCTTTTTCACCTTTTTTCCTCGGATTCTGTGCCCTCTCCCCACCCTCCCACAGATGTGCATGTGACTATACCATATATAAGGTAAAGAATGCAGAGTCATCAGAAAAATAATAAGAAAAAAGTTATTTGTCTCCGTATCTTTGGAGTTCATTGCAATATGTATATTATTTTATTGTATAGATGTTTTAAAACATTGCAAATATTTGTCTTGTAATACTTCTGTCGAAAACATTCCTGTCATAGAACATTGCCAACGCAATGTCTAAGCTAAGTGCAACAGAATAGTAGGAAACGTGCAGTTACACATTCTGTAGTGCAATAAATGGATAGGTGAAGGAAGCATTCAGTGGCACAGAGAAGGAGGCGGCGCAGGGGAGAAAGGAAGTTCTGCTTCCATTCTTTCTAATGCTAACATGCATGGAACTCAGGATTCTAGTCACATCCTTATAAATACAGCCGGAGTTTATCCAGACTGAAAGAGTCCAAATTAAGTTTAGAGGATGAACACTTTTACAGAGGCCATTTGAAAAGCATTTTCTTTCTTTCTTTCTTTCTTTCCTTCTTTTGTTGGTCATGGGGCTTGAACTCTGGGCCTGAGTGCTATCCCTTAGCTCTTCACTTCAAGGCCAACACTCTACCAGCTGAGCCACAGGGCCACTTCCAGATTTTTGGTAGTTAATTGGAAATAAGAGTCTCATGGACTTTCCTGCCTGGGCTGGCTTTGAACCGAGATCCTCAGATCTCAGCCTCCTGAGTAGCTAGGATTACAGGCATGAGCCACCGGCGCCCAGCTTTTGAAAGGCATTTTCATGCTACTCACATGTGCTCTCCATTCAGAAGATGTGCCACCATGTCAACTTGTTGATAATAGGTGTTATCAGTACCCTTTTAATGTTAAAAAGTGAATTATTTTCAAACTTTATTTTGGTCACTGCTCAAATTCACTGGTTGACCAACAGGTCCATCCTAGAGCCATTACCTTTATTGCTGAAATCATCAATCAACACGATTTCTGCTAAATACTTTCGTGGTGTCCTTTTGATCACACTGTGCACCGTTCTCATGAGAGTGGACCATCCTTCGTTATGGAAGACAATGACCACGCTTGACGTGAGCAGGTTGTCATCATAATGCCAATACTTGCACCTGCAAAACACACATGTCAGGACAGTTATCTGGAGACAATCTATTATGACATGGCTCCCATCTTACAATGATTGCATTTTCTGACTGAATTCGATATTATTGACTTAACTAAGGAAACGGTAGAAGAAATGTAAGACAGGAGAGAGAAGCTGTTAGAGATCACTGTGTGGGAAAAAGAACTGATTTGTGGCCTTACCCCGAGGATGCCTAAGACCTTAGTTACACCAACCAAGTTAGTACTGCTGTTTTTCTATTTTGGCTACAATGTTCAGAGGGAAAAAAAATGAAGTAGCTAACCCAACATATATAAGAGAAACTGACAATTTTGCTAGTAAGTGAATAAAATGTTAATGCTATGTAGAGCTATTTGATTAGCTAAAGAAGGATCTTCAGTTGCTATGCATGAAAAGTATTTGAAATAATTCTAGCAGGAATTAAGTTTTTGGAAGTCTTTCCCTAACTGGAAGAAACCCAGAACAGCCTGTCTTAATCAAGCCAGCTACAGCTTAGTGAGCAAGCACTATTCTGAAAGGAGGCTTTCAAGTATGACCCAAAGTCAGGAGGGGTTTAATGCTCTTCCAGAATAACAAGTTCAAAAATGTAGTAAGAGAGAGATGCAAATCTTGTAAGATGTGGTAAGTATTTCTTCAGAGGAGTGAACGACAGCGGAACAAAGCCTGTCTAGTTTTAAATAGGTGGGGACAATAATCTCCCCAAGGCCTACAACCCAGATGCAGGCTTTATGAAAGTTTGCTTCCTCTTTCCTTAAGCACTGGGTTTAAAGCAGCAGAACTGGCTGTGAGGAACTGCAAGTTTGATTTACAACAGACACCAGAATTGATGGAAATAGTTAATGTGCAGAAAGAGCTTTGTGACTTGCTGATCTCTAAGGCAAAAGAGATGGCCTTGGAAACAGGAAAGATGGTATGTGTGCGTGTGTGTGTGTGTGTGCGTGTGTGCGTGCGTGTGCATGTGTGTGTGTGTGTGTGCGTGCGTGTGTGTGCGTGCGTGTGTGTGTGTGTGCGTGCGTGCGTGTGTGTGTGTGTGTTTTCAGGCAGGGTCCTGCCACAAGGCTCAGGTGGACCTTCAACTCGATTATCCTTTTCAGGTACTCAAGTGCTAGGGTACCAGGAGAGCACCACTGCCTAGCAGAAGAGTAGCTCTTAATGGGACACTTTTAATGGGAAGGAGCTAAGAAAAGACTGAAGGAGGAGAGGAAGTGGACAGAATGAAGCCACTCTCCTAGGCAATCAACTCCATAGAGAGACTGCCAGAAGATCTTGCTCTTACAGACAAGGGGACAGGAGAGCTGAAGTGGAATAAGCTGTTTGCCTCATTCATCTGTGTTTCCTGTTACTTTGAAATAGCAATTCTAAAAGGGTACAGTAACAATGATGGGGAGGTATTTTCACTTATTTTTAATCTTAAGAACTTCAGAAGTAACACATAGCTTGTCATGAAAAAATATAACAACATAGAAACGTATACAGTAAAGGTGTTCATTCCCTTTCTTCCTCTCTCCAAGTACGTCAAATCTCAGCTGGTAATTGGCTGTGTTAGTTGATGTTCCTGCAGACATGTATCTCTATGTATTTACAACATACGTTCAGAGGAGCACGTATAGATCTAATGCTTTTCATGATTGAATAGTATTCTGTAGTATAGTATTCCATAATCAATTTAGTGTCATAATCGGTTTAACCACTGAATCTTTATTGATGGATGTTTCAGTTAATTCCATGTGACAATGATCATCCTGTGCCTCTATCTCCGTGCCTAGAATTTTTCCTGTAACATACAGGAAGTACAGGAAAATACAGATTTTCTTTCCTTAGGAATGTCAACACTCCATCTTTCTAGGTACCCTTGAGGACAAGTAAATTCACAGGACCCCATATCCAGAGGAAAAGGAAGTAGAAACTCCTCTAGTTATAAGCAGTGGGAAAATCTGGAAGGAACAGAACAGAATGTTACAAAAGCAGGTGAAGGAAGGAACGTGTGCTGAGCTTTCTTTCATTTCAAAGCTTTAGGAGAACATCCAGTGTGGGGCATCTGCAGTGAAGACCAGTCACAACATTTGAGCACATTGGTTCCTAATGGGAAAGTTTGGGCGGGGTGGGGGGTGGGGGAGTAGTCTAAGGTGTGTTCATTCTCTTATTACAGAAATAGGTTCCTCGAAACGGTAAGTCTGGCCTTCCCTCCGGTTCTCTCAAGTCTCGCTTGGAGGTGAACCCTTCTATGCTGCCTTCCACTGCGGATGACACAGCACGGAAGTGTCATCCAGGCCTGTTCCTCGGTCACAGACTTCCCAGCCCTGAGAACTGTGAGAAACCAGTTTCTTTTCTTTATGATCACTAAGCCATGGTATTCTCAGAAGTGTCATTCTCAGAATGACAATGGAGAGGTTCTTCAGCCAGTGCCCCTGGGGAGACAGCAAAGCTGGGGCAGAAGCACTACAATTCCTCGAGGATGCTTGCCCCATTGTCCAGGAAGACAGGGAGGAACAAGAAAGGCAAGGAGGCAGACTGGCGCCCTAGGGAGAGAGCTGAGCTCCACACTGGTTGGGTGCTGAGCTCAAAGGAGAGCCGTGGAACAATGGGGATTGGGCTGCCTCTAATGACAGACTTTCATGTGCCACTATCAGACTGAATGAATGCTTGATGTTGGAAGAAGTTAGCTCTTGGGCAGATCTGGTTTTCCACGGGGAGAAGTGGTATTGTGCAGAACACACAGCAGGGCCTGGGGCAGACAAAGCCTTCATGTTAGGACTTGGAATGAAAGAACCACGGTATTGAGGTAAAAACTTTTACTTGGCATTCCTCTCACCTTTCTGGGGTAGAATCTGCAAATACAATAGTCTCCCCCTATCAGAGTCTTTGTTTTCAGAGGTTCTAGTCACCTGTGGTCAACAATAGTACAAAAACTATGGTATTGTGCAATAAGAGAGAGCAAGAGGCAGGCGCCTGTGGCTCATCCTTGTAATCCTAGCTACTCAAGAGGCTGAGAACTGAGGATTGCAATTCAAAGCCAGCCCAAGCAGGAAAGTCCCGGAGACTCTTATCTCCAATTAACCACCAGGAAATCGGAAGTGGTGCTGTGGCAAGTGGTAGAGCACTCACCGTGAGCTGAAGAGCTCAAGCATAGTGTCCAGGCCAACAGTTCAAGCCCCAGGACCAACAAAAGAGAGAGAGAGAGAGAGAGAGAGAGAGGGAGAGAGAGAAGGGGGGAGGGAGAGAAAGAGGGAGAGGGAAAGAGAATACTTTCATAACTTTCATTACAATACATTGTCATAACTTCTAAGATTACTTACTGCTGTTGATGTCTTATTGTGCTAATTTATAAACTACAGTTGATACAGATATGTATACATTCAAAAAAGTATGTATAGGTATGAATATATATATTAATACATTATATAGGAATAACTTGTACATTTGAATATATTAGGCATCATATATACATTTACAAACATATACATTTACATATATACATATACAAATCATGTAGGGATATTAATTTGTAAACCCTAAATACAAAAAGGCTTTACATCAAACTACAAATGCATGTATATAATTAAAATGTATACACAATATATAAAATGTATTATGCATGTAATTAATGTATACACACATATGTATACATTTATATGTGTGTGCACATATACATACAAATACATGTGCACGTGTGCATTACACACACAAACACACACACAGAGTTTTAGTCCTAGATAGGGTTTTAGATATCCACAAGGGATAAGGAATACTATGAGTTCTTATTAGGAAGACCAACTAAAACAAGCGTACCATATTTAACTAGATGGGTCCTGCTACCCATTTGTGACTAGTTTCTACTCTCCAGCACATCATTTTCCTAAAAGCGCTTGTAAATCTTCTCCCATGGGGAACAGCAGTGGGGCTCAGCAACTCCGCAGAACTGCCCTGATGGAAAGGCTCGCATTCACAGCAGAGGCTCAGAGTGATTAAAGCTAGAGCGTATCCTCGCTGTGATTTTAAGAATGGGCTTGGTATCAGAAGAAAAGATGAGGAAGAAATTTTCACAGGACTGTTGTATACTTTCCATAAGTAGACTTCAAAAACCAAACACAAAGTGCCTATAAATAATTTACTTGTGTTCTCCCTGAATCTGCTTTGTTTTTAACATTGGTAGTTTGCGATAAAGCCCTGCTGTTTTAGACTTTATAAATAAATAATATCTAATTAGGCAGATCATGAGAAACAACATTTTTAGACTGGAACTCTTTGCAATTCATATATTTTATTATTAATCTACAGTAATGTGCCCACATGTGTTATTTGTGTGGAAATTATTCATCTTGTTCCTTTTAAAATTGTATTTCAGTTTAGATCACTCACAAAGCCTCAAAGAAAAATTTTGCATTATTAGCCCTTAATTCAGCAAGCAGTTTAAATCTAATAGGGAAATGCTTTAGGCATAGGCAACAAGTTATTCACTTGGAAAAATGATTAGTAATTAGTTGATCAATTTTTTTGTTGGTCCTGGGGCCTGAACTCAGGATCTAAACACTGTTCCTTTTTTTGCTCAAGGCTAGCACTCTACCATTTTGAGCCACAGCTCCACTTTTGGAATAATGATTCTTTTAACTATTTACTTTAATTTTTAAATAAATTGAGAAACTTTCCTGCTTGGATCTAAAAATCTCGTTTGCTCATTTATGTGATAAAAGGAAAAGTATTTAGAATTTACCTGAAACAGTGCTGAGACCAAAAAGCTCAATACATTAGTAATGTTCATATAAATTTGCCACTGGCATTCAGAAATGAATAAACGCTTTCAATTAAAGCAGAACTGTCACTGTTAAACACAGGTACTCAAATTTAACAGACTGGGAGGAAGAAAACTTACTCAAGCATCCAGTTTGTGTGCATTTTCACTGGAATGATAACGGGTTAATGACTTCAGAACATGCTGTGGATGTTATTCATGAAACAAGAATCTCAGCATCAGAAAATTAAAAACTG